AACTTAGTGATATATAACATAAAATTTAAATTATTTTTAAACAGCAAAAATAATAAAATAATTTATATTTTAATAATTAATTAACACAACTTTTAATTATGTTAATTAATTAATTAACGTAACTTCATTCCGTCTCCAGTAAAATAACTATGAGTGCAAATTTAATAAAAGATCTATCTATATATGCAGCAATATACAGTAACGACACAAAATTAATATCCAAAATAAATAATTAATATCCAAAATAAATAATTAATATCCAAAATAAATAATTAATAAATTAATAAATAATTGATTTTAAATATTTTGCAGCTTTGTTTGATTAATTTATCTTCAAGTGACTAAAATTGACAAATAATTATTAATATTTACTGAATTTTTGTATAGCGTATAAATTATTAATAACTTAATTATTATCAAATAGATTAATTTTTAATTTTTTCAATAATTAACAAATAAATAAATTCATTACTTATTTATATATTTGAATTATAATGACATGTGCGTTGTGAATAATTGCGGCAAATGTGAAAAATAATTTAAAAAAAGAACTTTAATATGAAAATATTTATTAAAATTATTAAAATTAAATAAAAATTACTGTATAAAAGTGTAATTTGCATATTTACTACAATAAGTTTTTTCTAGTTTAATAGGTTTATATTTCTACAAAAATTATTGCCTCATGATCTTTACTGTCATCCCCCCACTGCTTTATAATATATACTAATTTTCTACCCACTTATAAGTATATACTTATATATATATCAAACAAATTTTAAAAAGTTGCTTAAAAAAATAATTACTTGTGGACATAAAATTTGCTTACTTTTTTAAAAAAAAATTAAATTAATTAATATAATTAAAAACTAAAAAATATAAAATGATACTTAGCAACTAATTCAAATATGTTTTGTAAGATATCATCCCGTACTTAAAACTATTAGTGCAGATCACATTAACTGTAAGCATTGACTCTAGTTCTAGAAAATGTGTAAAAATTTACACATACGCAACCTATCCTAGATCCGATAAGATGATTCCAAAAAATTACAACATCATATTATTCTAATTCCATACTAATCTTTAGTTAAAGTTCTTATAATTTCCAAGTCAACATATTTCACGAAGTTTTTTGTATCATTATCATTAGTCGAAACCTTTCCAATGCTGTTTGTAGACATAGTGCAAACACATTTCGCCTATATAAGTATAATTTTTAATTTCTCCTTCATAAGGCTGCCTCGAAATCAAACCAATGATTGGGAAAATATGTACTTAAAACTGTGTCTTTCAATAACCAGTATTCGGAGTATGGATCTTAAGTTATTTCACAATAATTTTATAACTTTATACAAACGGAATTGCCGCCTTAACATTTTAGGGAGTTTCTTTTTTGAGGATCTTGGCGAACTTCAGAACTTCCCTTTAAATAGCATCATAAACTTTGCCAAAAGTTATAAATGATTTTAACCCTTGGGTTTTTAATAATACAGTAGTACAATGGGTCTATAGGCCTAAGTGGATCCACCTGTGACCGCCGGTATAACCTAACCTAACCTAACCTACTAATGAAGTGAACACGATTGCTTTGTCGCGAATGCTAGGTCGGGGTCTCGTGACAGCTGCAATATGACATTATGCATAGTTCTTACTACGAAAACGCTCAGCACATATTAAGTGAATAGGCGGTTCTCTTAAACTGAACGGCAGAGACTTTAATATATCTGAACATGATTGCTCTTTGTGTGATGTGATTGCTCCTTGCAGTATGTCCGATTTTCAGAGAACATAAACGTCTTTTTTTATTTGATAAAGCACTTCTGTCCGAAGAAGAAATTAAACATGAACATGAACATGGAACATGAAGCACTTCTACCCGAAGAAAAAGTTGAAGTCTTGTTAAATTGTAGCAATACTAATAACCAGTACACATCTATGAAACTGTTTTAAGTTAAAGAAGACTAATTATTTAAGAATTTATATATATATATATATATTATATATATATATATACAGTGTTGTGCATAACAAAAGCAACCAAAATTTGCCCATCAAATAAATAAGTTTTTTGTCTACTTTTTACTTTTCATTCAAAAATCTAAATACACAGTTTTATTTGTTATTGTGTTAGCTATTATAAAAAAACAACAAAATCTACAATTCTTCATAACGGGTTAATTAATTCACACAAATAATAAAATATTGCGAAATGCGGCTGTGCAGAACAATAGCAACTTTATTTATTATATTAAATTTTTGTATTATTTTTCTAAATTTTGTATAAAGCCCTTTGCTTTTTATTACTTGGGCACTTCTACGGGTCATAGGTGATATTAAATTGTTAATAAAACTTTTTGGAATTTTACACCATTCATCTTTAATGACCTCAAACAATTGGAAACTTTTCGCCCCCAAAGCGACGTTTGAGAATACCAAAATGTTCTCAATTGAATTAAAATCAGGTGTTTGGGCTGGCTAATCTAAAATTGGAATTCCATTTTTCAAAATCCATTCTCTTATCAGCTTTAAGGTGTGTTTTGGGTCGTTATCGTACTGATATACCCGTCGGAGTGACATTTTTCATCCGCCATGGGGTACCATATGGCTCTCTAAAACTTTTTTGTACACATGTTGGGCTATTATTTGATGAATTTCATGAAAAGATCTTAGTCTAAATCCTGAAAAGAACGCTCAAATTAGCACTGACCCACGCCCATGCTTCGCAGTCGCTTGACAGTTACGCGGATACAAACGTTTTTTTTTTCGCGACGTACTGTGCACATCCCATCAGAATTAAAGATGTTAAATTTTGATTTATTGCTGAAAAAAATTATTTTCCATTTAGTAAGAGTCCAATTTAAGTGATTCCATGCGAAGTTTGATCTAAATGAAGTATATTAATATTATGTAATTAAAAAGCAAAACAAAAATCTGCCTCTTTTGCTAATGCTTTTTAGTCAACATTGGTTTTTTGACTGGTCTGTAACTTTTGAAACCGGCTTCGAGAGTAAGCCTGCGTCCAGTACTAGAGTCAACACCTTGTCAACGACACGAATGGTTGTTTTTTTTGTAATTCTTATGATGTTTCGATCAATTCTACAAGTAATCTTAAGAGAGGCTTCACCCAAATAAACCGTTTTAACGGTATTTTGTCTAATTATATTTTTTTATAAGCTGCGAAACAATAAACTAATTAATTTTAAATATTTTGGCTATTTCATTTGAGCACTGCCATTTAAATATTTTTCAATTCTTGCCTCTTTAAACTTCAAAGTATACGCGTCACGAGCCATGATAAAAACGTACTTTCATTACCTGATTTAATATTGAACTATTCTGTGTTTATGTTCTAATTTGCTTAAAAACATAAATCACAGCATAAAAATGCAAAAAATCAAAAAAATATCTTGCTAGAATGCACTTTGGTCATAGATCTATAATTGATCTTGTCTCAGTTGCTATTGTTTTGCACAGCCGCATTTCGCAATATTTTATTATTTGTGTGAATTAATTAACCCGTTATGAAGAATTGTAGATTTGGTTGTTTTTTTATAATAGCTAATACAATAACAAATAAAACTGTGTATTTAGATTTTTGAATGAAAAGTAAAAAGTAGACAAAAAACTTATTTATTTGATGGGCAAATTTTGGTTGCTTTTGTTATGCACAACACTGTATGTGTATAATAATGTTAACAATATGCATCACTTTTTGAATGCCAATCTGACACACAACAAATATGTTATTGTCAAAGTTTTAAGTAAAATTCTATAATTTTTGTAAGTGCTGTACAATTTTCCCTGAATCAATAAATAATAATTAGAGTCGAATCCTTTTTAATTCTCGGGATGTTATTCAAATGATTTAATTTCATCGTCAATTTTAGTTTGGGAGTGGCCAAATTTATAAGAAAGATCCGAGGATTTAATCATGATTTAAAGTACCTTGAAGATATCATGTCGTGATTATGATACAACAATGACCACCTATCTGTAACTTTTTCAGTTTAACATAATGCACATATATATATATATAGATATAATACCAATATGTACTCCTAGTTAGTCTTCTGAAAATTTTTATAGAAGTAAAGATTTCATTATTAACAAAAATGACATATGCTCCAAATGAAAGTATAGAGCTCAAACAAAATCTGTCTTATAATCGCTGTATTATAATGGCGGTGAAAAACCCCCCGAACTTTTTTAATACGAATAGTATATATGTTTTTTTGCATACTATGTACTTTAATAGACTTTTTTAGATATTAATTTCTATATGTTTAAGGTTTGGTGTAAGCATAAGTTTTATTTTCAAATTAATTAAATTACTTTATATTAGGTATAATATGTACTATTCAAATTTAATTACACTTTACATAAGTGAGTTTAATTATCTTTTTCTTAATCACAACATCATAACTCTGCCTAAGTTTACTTTTATATATCTATTTTTTTATATAAATTAAACAAACTAACACACTTTTTGCATTTAGTGCTTTTGAACAGAGTCTAGCATCTGTTGTTCAGTCTAGCAATTGTTCCAGATAAAACATTTTAACACAACAAATTCTAGCAAATATACTTGATTTCATATAATACGAAAATGTATAAAACATACATATATATAATAACTTTAATACATGTATATAATCATCAAACATACTATACACAAATATATATATACATAAATAATTAAGATTAAATGTATTTTATTATGACGTTTTGACATTGAGTAAAGCAAGAGATAAGGTCCATATCTTAAGATGCAAATCGCAGACAGTGTCTTCGATGAAATAACTACCACGCAAATGTGATTAAATTAAAATATTAAAAATTTTTACAATAATTTAAAAACCAAAAACTAAAAACTAAAACTCAAACTGAAACTAAAATAAAAATAAAAAAACAGCATTTTATATGTATATATAATTAAAGCTAAATAGCACAAGCTATATAAAGAAATCATTTTCATGGGACGAAATAAATTAAAATTCAAATTAATAAAGAAAATTATGATGGAAGAACTAAAATTAAAGCTGCAAATATTTTTAATAATACTTTTTAAAACCGCAACACACACCTATGGCATACCAGCAGCACCAGCTGTAGATGCAACCTTAACCACTTACACACTTAACAACTGCACCAAGGAGCATGTACTCCAAATACCCAATATGCCTGTCATAACTGATTTGAATGTAATGTACTGTAATATCAGCGAACTGGAAAATGCTTTCTTTATACGTTTCCACAACTTAACATCGTTGGAGATTACTGACAGCAAACTCACCGCGCTGGAGGACTATGCGCTGCATGGCTTGCGGCAATTGAAAAGTTTATCCTTGGCACGCAACAACATAACGGAATTAAAATCCTGGTCCATGGAACAAATGAATGCACTCATTTCGCTTGATTTGCGCCGCAATGCAATTTCCAAATTGACATTGAAGAGCTTTTATCGTTATCCAAATTTGCAACGTTTGAATCTAGCCGTAAATCTGTTAACGGATATTGATGATGGAATATTTCGCTGGATGCCCCATTTAAAATACTTGAATTTGGGAAGAAATCATTTAAAAGCGATCGATGCACGTAACTTTCATGGCATGCACCGATTAACGCATTTATCGTTGCATTTCAATGAAATCGAAGATATCGAAGGTGATTCCTTTTCAAGCAACACCCATTTGCGTTCGCTGCGTTTAGAGGGCAACAAGCTAAGGAATTTGGATTTTATGACTGTGAAGAATTTGGTGCATTTGGTTCATTTGAATTTATCATACAATGGAATCGATTCATTGGAAAGCTTAACATTCTCAAAGGACTATGAATTGATTAGCTTAGATATGAGCTATAATCGTTTAATACACATCTCCGCTGACACTTTTGCCGGACTAGAGTCACTTCAGGTAAATAATAAATCTATTTTACAATTTCAGTTTCAAATTTTGGCCTTCTAAGAAATTTATTCATGTATCATGAGATATATACAATATATTATAAATTAAATAGCATTTTACATATATCGAATTATAACGAGTTAATTACTCGGTAATTAAATTCATTAAAAAAATGTTGGAATAATTTAAAATTAGTTAAGGGATGCAATTTTTTAGAAAAGTGACCTCATACTTGAAACTAAATGTTAAAAGTATATTTTATTAAAAATAAATATAAATAAATAATAAATAAATAATAAATTAAAAATAAATTTATATTAAAAAATATAAGTTCATGATTTTAATAGGCTTAATAGGCTTAGTGCAGTTAAAAATAAAATGTCTTTTAAAAATAAAATAAAATTAAAATAATTTATGATAATTTATGATCATAATTTAATTTATGGTAAGAAAATTTGAATATCACGAGCCAGTTAATAATATACTATAAAATAAAAATTCAATAATAAACTAATTATTTTAATTCTTTTTTGTCATAAGTTCCATTGATTCACATTTATCAATAAAAGGCATTATTTATTAACTATCTTAAAGAGGATCCTGCAATAACTGAAGCATTTCATGATATTATTATTATATGAAAAAGGGGTGGTGCACTGTGACCTAAAAGCCCTATAATGCCCCTTACTCAAATTAAAGTGTTTCTCCAAATCCGATTTCTTTAATGAAGGACAGTCTAGAGTGCATCTTTCCTGATCTTGAATCCTTTTGATCTATGAAATACCCTCTTAGGTATTTCTTCCGTTTGTGCATCAGTGCCGTGCACTCCCATTTTATGATTAATAATCGCATATAATAATTTCTGAGAAAAGGGTCGCAAAAGCTCACGACAGTCCTCACTGCTAAAAATAGTATATTGTCTTTCAAATTGATAAAACATCGTCTTTGTTTAATGAATCTGGTACCCTAGAGATTATTTTATATTTCTAAAGTAAAAAATTTAAATTGGAGGAAAATTTTATCATCAAAAAGTGAACTGGTAACTACCGCAAACACATATTTTGAATAGGTTAACCCAATTTATGGTAGTATTTAGAAAAGTTATAACAGTTAAAACATCGGAAAGTTAAGTGTTAAATTAAGATGTGATTTTTTCTGTTGTGCAGAAAACAGCTGTTTTCAATTAACAGTTTTAACAATTTTGCTTTTAAACGGGCTAATTAGTAAATAATTAATTTGACCCAATATTTCGACTATGTTCTATTACAGGGCTGTCCAAAACGCAGCCCACGTGCCATATGCGGCCCGTGGCTAATATATGTGAGCGACATGTTTGTGATCTACCATAATTGATAAGTTTTGTTAAAATTACATTATTTTATTTTTATGGTATCCCTTAAAACTCTTTAGTTTCTCAAATTAGACACACATTTTAATATGTTGAGATCGGTTTTTTAAAACTTTGAATTATAAAGAAAAAGACAAAATTAAAAATTTTTTTTTTTATTTTTGAAAACATTTTATTTAAATAATAAATCATTATGATTCATACCAACATACTGTTACATTATATTAACATTATATTGTACCCTGATGATGACTATAGAATATAGTCGAAATATCGGTTCAAATAATATCTTTTGAACAACAAAAAATTGGTCTTTTGAAGTAATTATTTCTGGTACATTTTACCCACTTTGAGGTTTCTGAGTTCACGAACAATATCTGGTTGTGATTGTGATTTCCCAGCCAAATATAAAGCAATCAGACCATTATCTTTCCATTTCATTTCGATAAATAAATAATTGTCATTCGTAAGAATTTTACGTAGTTGGCAATTTCGTTTTACAGATATACCTGAGTGCAGTTGGTAACACTTCAATCGCCTAAACCCGTTTAATTCATCATGCAACACTACTGATTTTTACAAAGCAACGAATGAATTTTAGTGTTATTCGGAGACAATATGACTGATATTGTATTGATTTCTGTATACAAGTCGTTGGATTATCTCCTTCGCAATTTGTTATGGAAATGAACTGAGCAGAAATGATAACATCTGTATTGTTTATTATATTTGAATAAGTCTAAAAATCAACGGACAGAAATTAAAAAAAAAAATACTAACATAGACTATTAAATTTTTTGGCATGCGAAATCTGTACCGATATATAATATTTTAGATATTAATATGAAAAATAATGTCTATACATATGAAATTTTAAAGCAAATCAATTATTTATTTGTGGATATGAGTGATATAATCTTTTAGTCTATTAAATATACAAAGCGTTTCGCACTACATTCTCTAACGTCAGAGGATAAATTCCAATTCCAAAATTGAAAGAAATTTTTATGAAGATTGTAACATTTGAAGTTTTTTAAAAATATCTGATGTTTATAAAAATTGGACTATAATACATTTTGTCTGAAAGCTTTCAGATTCTCAAAACAAAACATGAAAACTTATTAGCTAATTAAGTTCCAAATTATTGCCTTCAAAGTAGATTCCATCGAATTCCATCGAAGCAATATAACGCTTTGAGAATTTGACTCAATCACACGTACACTTCTCGTAGGGTAATTGAGATATAAATAGGTACACAACTATACTAAAATTCCTTAACATAATTTACTTTTACAGCTATTTCGAACTATTCTTGAGGAAATATTAATTTTAGTATTGCGAACATAAATATTCGTTGAGTTGCCAAAAAAGTATTTACTATCACTATAGTGTTATATTGTGGAACCAAATTAATAGAGTTTCCAAATTTGTGTTATTAGTTATTAGAATAATGTGCTCTAAGAAGGAAGTTCAGTAAATAGAGCTAAAGATTATAAATCTATAATAAATCAAATCGGAATACAGGTTACGGCGTTTTATTTCTAATCAAATACAATATTTTATATATTAAATAACATTGCTATGAAGGATACTCATCGCTTTATATAGAACATTCTCAAACAAAAAAACTGTGTACTAGCACTGTAATGCTATGTTGTGGCACCAAATTGATAAAGTTTCTATGATAAAATTTTTAAAAACCCTAGACATTTTAAACCAAATGAATCAATTATCTGAGCCTTTTATAGTGGACACCATTTTTCTTTTTTGGTGCCTTTGTCTTTGAAAAACATTTAAGAAGTTTTATGTTATTTAAAATTTCAAGTAATTTATTTTTTTAATGACGAAATATTATTAATAAAAATTTTGTTTTTTAACAGGCTAATTGGTCAATAGTTTAATAATGCGCTTTTGAAAAAATTTGATTTTATTTGAATCTTTTTTATGATTTATACTAAAATATTGCTACATGATATTGTACCCTGATGACGAGTATCGAATATAGTCGAATATAAGTTTGAATAAAATCTTTTGAACAACAAAAAATTTTTTAAAAATGTATTATTTAACTGTTGTCCAATTAGCCTGTAAAAAACGAAATTTGTTGTGTTTGTTTATTGGTAGTTCAGCACTCTCAGAAGCCGCTAATGGCGCGGTGGCTAGTTCGGTATGGTCGCCGGTTTTAGGGTGGGGTTCTTGACAACTGTGTAATCGCTACAGACGTCAAAAAAAAAATAATCGTACCATTTTTTTACCAATAAAAAAGTATAGTATCTGACCATCGTCACGTTAGTAAAAATATCTACAACCATTGTCTCCTAAACTTCATATTGCCAATTTAGTTATTTTTTCGTGTATCTCATGGACCATAAAGAGAGCTTTCTAAAATGGTATATTTTCGGTCGATGATTTCATATTTCAAAATACAATTTTTTCTATTACTTCTACAAATCAAAGTGCTCAGCTTTACCTAACAAACCTACATTTCTTCACTTCATTTAATTCTTTATATTATACAAAGCAAAATATTTAAGAAATTTACAATTTCAATATAGTTCCCAAAAAAAAATTTTTAACTTCATATATTTAAATATCTTTTTATTTTCTTTCCTAAAACCAAGGTTCTATTCTAAACCTCAACAACATTTGGTCAAACATTATCGAAATGTGATTGTACACAACGGTTTGAATCACACAAGATACAATAGACTGAATTGGTATAGAAGGATTTCTTGTTCATCATGCAGATTTTTCCTTTAACTGCATCCGCAAGACTCATTACCTGTAAAATTTTTTGCTATACTTCCTAGTCTACCACAGCGTCCTGACCAGCCTGACCTTCCGTTTCTCCTACTCAGTTAGGAAAGTCCGGTAAGATGTCTGGCAGTACGTGTTCCAAATTGCATAGTTGACCCATGCTTAAAAATATATCTTGTTAGTATATATCTTACGATTTTATTAAGTAATTTAAAAGAAAAATTAAAAGCGAAACAACAAAAACTAAAATTAATAGCTCTATCCCAGAAGACTTATGCGGTCGTGCTAGTTGTACCACCCCTTTTAGTCAAAGATACTTCCCTTTAAGCAGTTATTTTTTTTCTGGTTTCATTTTTTTTTTGTAATATATATAATAACAAAAAATTAATCAGCCTTTCATATTTGTTTTCAAATTCAAACTTTGTTGATGATTTATTTAATATATAAAATATATATATAAATATATATATAAATATATATATAAATATACCAAATTATTCTATAAAATTTTTCTTGAAGCTTACAGAAACTCAAAATAAATAATTAGTTTTTTTTTTATTTTACAATGCTTTTTGTTTTTTCTTTAAGATATATAAGGTAAATAATGCTGTAAAAAAACATAACTCTGACGAGTGAGACACATCGTTAGTCAGATTTTTCTGTATTGTAAATAAACAAAAAAAATTTCTTACAAAACATCTAAAAAAAATGAAAAAAAAAAAAGACAGACCCATAAAGCAAATAAATAAAATGTAATCGTAGAATGCACTTTCTTTGCCGCTGAAATGACGTCACCTCAGCTGCCATTGCACCTAAATAAAATTTTTATGTAATTTTTTTTTTCCAAAATAAAATGAATAACCATTTCTTTTTATAATATATAAAAAAAATATGAAATATTTAC